ACATTTCTAAAGGAGTACAGGTGTGGGCAGGCCCATATTTCTTCTAGGGATGCTCATGAATCTTTCCTCCCCCTTTTAGCTTCCCAAAGCTAGCTACAGTCCTTGGTATGTGTGCCTTCCACCAGCTTCAAAGCCAGAAGTGTCACATCTCTGACTCCTGCCTTTGTCCTCCCATCTTCTCTCCCCAGATCTAATCACGCTTGCCTCACTTACAATCGCCTTGGGTAACCCAGGACACTCTCCCCACTTCCTTAGCCATAACTTGACCACACTGGGTAAAGTCCGTTTCATGATAATGTAATCACAGCTTCCAAACTTTAGGACATGGTGGCTTGGGGAGGCGAGGCTCCAGGCTGGGAGCAGTATTCAGCAACTGCAATCAATCGCTATGCATTCCTATGAGTCTCAGCTGGAAAGCTGCAGTTCTGCCTGGGGGTGCTCCAGCATTCTGAGATATGAGCGGCTTAAGGGGACCTTCACCTCCAGGGACACCCAGTTGCTTCATCTGATCAGCTTCTAACACCTGCACCTTTCGTGAATCTAGTTTTCCAAAACCTAGAAACCTTCAATGTTGTCCTCTATGGCAAATGAACTTTCTCAAGTCTGCCACTTCTCAGAGAAGAAGGGGTGCAGGGACTCTCAAGTCTCTCCTGGTTCTAGGGTCCTCCTTTATTGTCAGCTCAGAGGGATTGGGCGCTGTGGACTTGGGACTCTTTCAGCTCAGGGTTTTCAGGTTATTGAGTTGGCTCTGTCCGTTACCTTTCACTATGGTGGTTTGCAGCTTCCTGTGTTAAAAAAATAATATTTATATTCAACTGTATGAAAAGCAAAGGTGACGAAGGGAGACAGAGGGAGCTAGGGAGGAAGGGAGAGAGAGAAACAAGAAGGGAGAGAGATATTGTGTCTGCTGGTTACACCCCAACAACCTGGCAGTGGGCCAGGCAGAAGGCATGAGCCAGAACTGCCCTTGTGTCCCACCTGGGCAACGCACTGGAGCCAGTTATTAGCCACTGCTTGCTAAGAGAGCTTTTCGAATTTTACTATGATTATCTCCTCTCCAAATCTCATCATGTTTATGGTCCTGCATATTTAAAAAAATAACTCTACTGCAAGTTTACTGTGATTTTGGACAGCCAACAATTAGGTGTGTGTGTCAATGTTTTCTTAATACAGAAAAGCATCTGTGTTTTTGTATTTTCTGTGTTTTCTGTATTAAGACACTGACCAGACACTGGCCAGGCACCTCATCCACTGCTTTCTTCAGTAAAAAGAAGCTTGTGGCCTGGTTTGTGCATCTCACCCTGCCCATCTAACATCACACCTAAGACCATCCACGCCCACTAAAACCTTACCCAGGAAACCACACTTTCAAGTGGGCAGTACGGGAACTGCTCAGTCATTTTCTAATTGGTAGAGAGATCAGCAGTGAGGAATCTCTCACAGGTTCCCACCCAGACAAGGAGTCAAGGAATGCTAAAAGCTCTGAGATTCTGAAAACCTCAGTATCTCTCCTTTGAAGAGGCGCTCCATCTTCCAGCTCCCTCGCGGAACCGTTCCTTCTTTCCCATTCACCTGGTCGCTCTGCAAGTAAAACTTCTGTGCCTGCAACTGATTCCTGGCTCTTACTTTCTATACTAAGCTGAGGAAGAAATCCGCCCAGCTTTGCTGGTAACAACACGCGGAACTGTGGCCCCTTGTCAGTTTCCCGCCAGTTATCCCCGTTCCCCCAGCAGTGAAGTCTCACCCTTGATCCCCAACTTCATCTCACTGATCAGGAGGCAGCAAGAGCTGGTGGGAATTTCTGTGTGTTTCCTAAGGCAACCTGAGTTGTTCCTCTTCCTTAGGGCTCGCTAGGGGAGCGGAGGTGGGAAGGCATAGGCTGGGATTTTGGAAACCTGGGTGTTAAGTCTCTGAGTCTTTGCAGGCTTAATCCTGACGAGAGGCAGTGGGGAAGTGCTGGCCTCCGGTGCTCTTTGCCTTGCCTAGCCGACCCAACCACTTATTTCATCACCTTCCCTGGCTGATCCTCTGGCCCTAGGCTGCCTTTTGACCCCAAGACCTTCCTCCACCGCCTTTTGTTGCTATGTGGCCCTCTGACTCCATAGCAGCTGGGTCCCGACTCACATCCTCCCAGTTCTGCAGGCTTTGCATGTACTAACCCACTTAACCCTATTGGGACAGAGAGGTTAAAATTGAACTTGACCAAGGTTACACAGCTGGATTTAACCTGAGCAACCTGACTAGAATCCATCTTCATACCACTATGCTGAAGGCTATTTTTAATATACATGTGCCAAAGACTTTTCTGATATATAAACAAAATAATAATAGAAGCATATTCGCACACAAATTAGTGTGCATATTAATGCATCTATGTGTGCATACTGCTTGTTTAATCCTAGCAGCAGCCTAGACCAAGCAAACAACCCCAAAGCAAAAACACTGAGTATCTGAATAGCAAAGTTCATAATTTTCCCTAATGAACATAACACACTCCTGTACCTAATACTTGGAGAAAACACATGCTTTTAAAGCACATAAAACATTTCCAAAAACTAACTATAAAACAAGCATTAACAATTTTCAAGATCTCATAACTATAAAGACCATTTTCTATGATCACAACACAAATTAGAAAGGAATAAAAAAATATGTTAGGGGATTTTTAAAAAGCGCATTTAAATTTCATGGATCAAAAAAGAATCATAATTAACACCAGAAAATGTAATAAAATAATATGGAAAATCAAATATTTCAAAGTATGCAGAATACGTGACAGAAGACCCTGGCTGGCATTGTGATGTAATGCATCAAGCTGTTGCCTTTGATGCCAACACCCCCTTTGGGATCCTCTGTCGGATCCTGGCCGCTCCCCTTCTGATCCTGCTCCCTGCTAATGTGCCTAGGAAAGCAGTGGAAAATGGTCCAGAGCCAGAAGCTCCTGGCTTCGAGCTGGCCCAGAAGATTGGAGATCTCTCTCTTTTTCCTGGACTCTCTAGAACTCTGATTTTCAAATAAATAGATAAAAAAGAAAAATGCAAGGCACTGAAATGCTTAAGAAAGACTGAAATGAATAAGGTGGGCGTTCAATTTACAAAGCTAGGAAAAACCCATTGATACCTTCTCAAGATTACCGACACCACGCTGAGAAATGGGAGGCTGACTGTCTCCAGAAAGGGCAGGGCAGGATCCTACCACACACAGACTCGCCTTTCCTGTGGTGTTAAACTGCCTAGACGGAATTTCACAAACAGGACTGGAAGATGCTTAGTGTTTAAATGACATTTACTTTATTCTAGCAATTCAAGTGGCTTATCTGTCTCACTTCTTTCTGTGTTAAACATTGACCAGAGGACAGATCCATGATGTTTGCCCATACTCAACATCGGGAAATGTGGAAAGAGTATTAAATTCAAGATTGGGAAAATGGTAAATTTTTGAATTATAAATGTGTCATCTTAAATATTTATAGTAGACATATTCAAAAAAGAAAACTTGGAAAACATAGAAAAGTAGGAAGAAAGTCAATCAAGATTCCAACAACAATTGATGTTTCAGTGTATTTCTGCCTTGATTTTATCCTAAATTTTTATTATTTAGTGATTTATTCATTATAAGTAGTCATGTGTGTACTAAAAACATACATTTGTAACCTGCTTTTGATGTACTATTCCTCATAACCTTGAAAATATTATTTATAATGACTGCATGATTTTACAAGTTAATTTACTTCATTCTGCCAAATTTTTCAAAATTTCAGATACTGTTCATTTTCTAGAATGTTAAACACTATTATAAAATACACATTTGCATTGAGTGTTCTCTTGTAATCTTATTTCTTTCCATAGAATAGATTCTTGGAAACAGATTTCTTTGCCTGAAGGATGTAAGTATTTCCAAGCCTTCTAACACATGTTGCTTTGAAAAAAGTTCTAAATGGAAGGGTGGCACCATTGTCCCATGCACCGAGGACTGTAAAGTTCACAAATGGGAATAAAAAACATGAAATGCAAAAAACAGCGATCATGCAAATATTTCCCTTGAGCCTCTGCAGTGGGTATGACTTGGATTGATGTCCATATCTTGATCGCAGACACAATTGTCTTTATTTAGATAATTCTAGGCTGTAGAAAAAAGGAAAAGCACCATAAGTTAAGTGATAAATGTGTTTGGGTTGATAATAATCTAACGACTTACATTTGTATTTCCTAGTCAGAACAATATAAAGCAAGAAAATACCTATTTAAAGCTGCTCAGAAAGGCATCGTACACTGTGTACTGTAGATACATCAGAAGATGTGTCATTCATAATTTCTCTTCACTCTGGACTGGTTAAATAGGTTTACCAAATTCAACAATAATTAAACGAAGATTATGTGCTTTTAGCAAATGAAATAGAAGTATTTTCAACAAAATAAAGACATGAAACATCTTTCAAAAGTTCTTAGTACACGTATATTATGAAGAAGCTATCCATGAATTTCAATTTTTCTAATAAAAAAGTGTATGTTTTACTTTGATTTACGCATTAGCTTTCTGAAACTCTCTCATAACTCTCTTGTTGAAAAGCACTCACTAACACATTTAGCCCAAAGAAGTTTTATTTACACAAGGCAACAACATTCAAAAAGAGAAATTCAATGAGATAAGGTTCTGAGTCTTAGATTATCTTACGGACAGGAAAATTTTTAATAAATTGTAAAGCTTCTCTGTTTGGGGGAATATATCTCCAAGGAACACTAGACAGCTATCTTTACTTTTCAACATGGGTTGTAGATTTTACTGTCATCGAGTAGACTCAGTCCTTAAGGCAAGCCAACAGACACATAGGAACATGAGGTAAGAAACTGAGCTATCAGCACCGGAATACAAGTGAGGGCAGCAGAAGTGGCGGTAGGGTTGGGAGACTGGCATCCTAGAGACTTTCCAACAAGACCCATGGAATCCTGGGCTTTGCGGCTCAGGTGGAGAAGGCCCAGGTGCCAGCGGGGCTCTGTTACCTGAATGATGACTGAGTAAGTGCTGCACAGCATCTTAGAGAGCTGCATGACCACTCTGATGAGGCAGATGATCACTTGCAGCCCACTGAGGGCTATAAGGATGGAAAATAAAATGATGTTCCATTCCACCACATGTACAGGTTCCAGGCACTCTATCCACACGCTGGGATCTATAAGGAAGCTGAAAGAGAGAAGGGAAATGGCTCAAGAGACCCACAAGAAAGGGCTAGACGTCTGAGCTCCGTGACAAAGGGACGTCGGGTACAGGGGTGTGATACCAGTGGGCCTGGGTTTGAGGCCTGGCTCTGGTTCTGTTAGTGTGGATCCTGGAAGCAACGCAGCAGGTGATGGCTGATATACGTGCATCCTGACACCCATGTGGGAGATCTGCCTCTTGGCTCTGGCCTGGCCCAGCCGAAGCTAGTGCGTGCTTCTGAGGAGTGAATCAGAAGATCTCGCCTTTTCTGTCTCTCTCTGCCTTTGAAATCAGTAAAAAATAAGTAAGTTTGAAAAAGAAGCTTCAAAAAAAAAAAAAAAAAAGACCCATGGCCAAGTCAATATACTTGTTTCAAGCAAGTTTATACGTATTTTTATGTTCAGGAATTTAGCGTATGTTTAAAATATATGGTAATATTAACTGTGTTTAATATATATTTCAATCACATTAATATGTAACTATTTAGTTAATTTATAGCAATAATACACTTAACGGTGATTTAACCATTTATTTTATAGTAATTTATTTAATACTTAGTAATCATTTAATAATATAATATCAACTTGTGTTTAATATATTTATTAAACAATATACAATAACAGATACTATATTGATAGCACTGAGCTAGGTAGTTAATTCAGTGTAAATGTTGTACCTGCCTTTGAGACAAGTCCAATTCAATTGGGAGGCAAGATTCCCATTCAGGAGTTTCATAGCAATGAAAGGCAGCATGTGACAAAAGCTAAAGAGGCACAGAGAGGTCATTCTCCAGGATTCCAGAGTGGGACATGACTACCAGAAGTGAAGCTGAGCTAGTACAGAAACACACACACACACACACACACACACACACACACACACACACACGGCAAAATAACAAAGAGAAATTCCTCCAGAAATTCCTTGACTCTATCCCAAAGCCCTCCGAGCAGCTGTTGTCTAACTCTGGGGCGGTTTGCAAGGCTTCACCCGAGAACTTTCAGTTCAGGGAACCCAGGTGAGGCTCCAGCCTTGGCAATCCCAACTTCCCAGGTGACACTGCTGCCATTCTCTGGGCCACATCCTGAGAACCTCTGCTTAGAACCTCACGGTCCACCACTGAGAAGAAGAGGCGGATTCGATGATGAGAGTATGACAGATGGAACATCTCGAGCAGCCTAGTTCTGCACAGGAGTGTGGGGAGTAAGTCACCTCCCAGACAGTCTTCAAGCCACACTGAATCAGTCTGACCGATTCGTGGTCGAGTTGTAAAGGTCCTGAAGTCTAGAGTCAGAACCCCCAGGGTCCAGAGGGTCTTGAGCGAGAGACTTGAACTGCTTCTGCCTCCAGAGCCTGTCCTGCATACTGGGATGAAAGTGCCTTTCCACAAGGTCACTGTGACTGTCCGAAGAGCATGTTTGGTGCTTCTGGGTCCATGAAGGACAACACAGAAGTGGTGTTTCTTGCAGTTTCTCACTGGACTTGGCCTCGGCCACTAGGCAAGCAAAGCGAGCAGGTGCCAGCCCTGTACGCATCACCCCGACTCAGAAACAACTGGGCTCGGTTTCTCTTGCTCTCCCAGGCGATGGTCCTGTGTATTCTTCGGTTCATCAGCAGAGTAGTAAGGAACTTGATACAGCCTCGCTCCATTCTCCCGCATCTTTAACCACAGGTCTCCCATAGGTCTACCTCACCAGGTACCATTCGACTTGTATTCACACATCCTTATCAGCTCTGAGTGCGGTATAGACATCCGCGAGTGGCCACCTCTAAGGCTTTTTAAAGATCAACAGATATTTGTGGAGGGAAACTGGCTCAGGATGCTCACCGATCCCTCACCTCTGGTCAGCTGACAGGTGAAGAATGTCCTGTTGTATAAGGGAGTGTGTAGGGTGATAACGCTAATGACCAAACAGGGGTGCTGCGAAGATTCATTCCATCTAGTTGGTGTAATACTTCCAGTATGTTCTCCATTCTGGGAGGTAGAGATGCTCATTATTCCCAGAAACATCCATGTGTTTGTCCGAGGTCAAACAGCTTACAATTAGGAAAGAGGGAACTTAAGTCCAGAACCACCAAGCAGCGAAGATCTGTGCTCCAAAAGTAACATCCCCACAAGATAAGCATCTCAGTAGAACTTTCTGTCATGTCCACATGCATTGCTCAAGGACAGGGAATTTGTGTTACACATCTCTGATTCTTCAGCACCTAGCCCAGGACCGAGGTAGCAGGTGCTTAATAGGAAGTGATGGATACACGCTCACAAGAATAATTGATAAACACAACTTAACACCTCAGGTAGATGTGGGCTTTCCACAACAGAGCTACTAACCGAGGTACTGGGAACAAAATGTTATTTGCAGGGACTGGTACAGATCTTCCCTAAGCTTACTTCCTTTGTGTTCTGAGCATACCGTAGAGCAAGGAGCAAGTCAGTGGGCCTCTTCTGCATCTCCTTCTGGGCCCTGCTACTGGCTGGGCTGCCTCTACAAGCGCTGGAGGCCCAGAAAGCCCAGTGTGAGGCACCCCGGAAGCCAGGTTGACTAAGTTAGCAGTATCTTGAGCAAGGACGGCTCTCTAGACCCTTCTTTAGCACAAGCTAAGAACCTGTAAGCACCTGGCTGTTTTCACAAATGCCTGCGCCTCGTCACATTCTTGCATCTCACACTACAGTTCCCTGCTACCCTGGCCCGCTTGTAGTGCTGTGTTGGTATCTTTGCTGTGCATCCCCTAATGGGACCACCAGAGGCTCCTCCCAGCCCAGCCTTGCACAGGCTTGTAACAGAGCACAGGTCTTGTCTGGCCGTGAAAAAAGACAATTGCTGGGACCCACCCTGCAGCCTGCTTCCTGATAAGCTCCAACAGTTGTCGGACCATATTAACTAGAAAGCCCTAATCTACAATATATATATAAAAAAAACTTTGTTTTGAACATCATTATGACAACTTCAAAACATTCAATAGATATAGCATTAAAAAAATGGAGGAAAAAATTGTCCAGGCAAAATATTTGCAGGGACAAATTGATCTGGGTATTAGGAAACCAATGGGAAAATTGTGTACTTAGGGGGGCTACCTGGAGCCCCACAGAGATAATGAAAAGCTACCTTAAGCCTAGGGCCAGGGACTCCCACCCGCTGAGCGAATTGGTCTGAAGCATTATTCCTTACCGTCCTCTGGTGCTTTCAAAGGCATACTCCCAACCATCAATGGTGCGGCAGTATGGGCCCTGGACAAGACCCAAAGCAGATATGACCAGGCAATATCCCGAGGAGGCAATTCCAAGGGCAGAGAAGATGATTGACAGCAGTGCCTAAATGAAATGCAGAAGAAATAACTCAGAATGAAATGAGGAGATCTTACGGACAAATGACCTAGTAGGTACTGTTCTCCAGTTATCCGTGCCTATTGTATGTACCATCAAATAGAACATTTAATCCAAACCTATCTGGTCTCAAAAAATAAGCTTTGGAGTGACATTTTGTTTGGCATCACATAAAAGCAACTAGGTCATTGGTTATTGTTTTTCCCTTTTTTCTAGAATGTTGATATCAAAATAATGATTACCTCTCACAGAAATGTAGTAAAGAGAGACTATGGCCCACTAACTTGTACATAGTTATGAGAGACCTGCTATTTTTTTTTTTTTAAGATTTATTTGTTACTGGAAAGGGTTAAGGATGCCCTTCAAGCTCTCTTTTGTGGCAAGATGCCATTAATAATCATTGGTGAGGCAATGCTTTGAGGGCGTGCCATGTTCTGTTTACCAAGTACCGCTCTCAACAATTCTCTCTTCCCTGCATGCTAACGTCATGGCTCGGAAGAGCTTGTGTTTCCCATTTGCTTTCATTCCCATTTTCCTGTCTCCCTCTGACTCATGGACTGTTTACAATGTGCTGCATCCCATAGCTGCTGTTCTTCCTCTAATTGCTCAGATGTGAATTTGGTAGGTGGGCAGAGTCCCTCCAGGGGAACTCCTGTGCCCTTTGATCTACTCCCATTATTCTTGGCACACTTTGCTTTCTGCACCAAAAGTGCCTGAATCACCAGAACTTGCCCTGCCCCAGACCCCCAGTGACATGGCCAGGATGAGCCTCTGCAGAACTGCTCTCATGCTGGTGGTCCGTGGTGTGATATAAACAGTAGATTACTGCTGCACACCAAGTCTGAAAAAGGAACAAGGATGTTTTGAAAATATTGAGATCCTTGTTTATCAAGCAGACTCTTAAATTGGTCACTGGGAAGATCATGAAGAATTCTTCATTTGGCGAACTTGGCAAGCACACTGTATGCATACAGACAAGAAAGCTTGAGAAATTTCATAGAAAATATAACTTATTTATAATTGAGAAATTTATAAATGACAAATTTGTTTTGGCACCAAAAAGCTTTTGAAATCCATGCCTAGTTTTCTCAGAATGTATTTTCATGAGCTTTTGAAAGCTCTCCCCTGCACATAACCCACAAATTGTAATCTGGCAAGTGGATTCCATTGTGTTCCTGGGGTAGGCTTCAAAATGATGAAGAATATGAATCTCTCTGAGTCATGGTTTCATTTTCTGTAAACTGCAGGTGATAATAGTGCCTGCATAACAGGCTGATTCAAAAGTTAACGTATAATAAAAATATTACCTATTATTTTAAGTGCCTTTATCTAGTCAATATTTGTTTTCCAGGTATAATCACCTAATAATTTGGCAAAAGATGACATGGAAAAAGAGCGCCTTGATCTGTTCCTGTTACTGTTAACAAAAATAGAGTGGCTAATTTATAAATAACATGGTTTTATTGTTCACAGTCTTCGGGGCTGGGAAGTTCAGGACCCACGTGTCAACAGATTCGGTGTCCAGTCAGGGCATGCCATGTGTCAGTAGGTGTTAGGAAATGCCTTGGTGCTTCCTAAAAGGGGACTTCATCTCAGGAGGGAGGGTCTCTTGCGCTTCTGCCACACTCCTAAGGGTGCACCTCGTGATCCTACCACAAAGAGGATTACATTCAGAGCCCAATTTGGAGGAATGTATTCACACCACAGACATCAACCAGGAAGTGAATCTTGGAAAACCTCAGTTGTAATTCTGGAGTTTCAGAAGTTATAAACTGGGGCAGATTCTCATTTGTCCAGCAACATGTGTTTTATTTGATTTTAATGAGACTTAATTGCCAACCTTTTATAATTAGAAATAGATATTTAATCATTGAGAAGTTTTGCATTAAAAAATGGTATGTCTCCTTTCTATTGAAAGCTGAGTCATCGCGACATGTTTTGATGGGAACAGTTCCCCGGGCGCGAGCAGTGCTCCCTTTTCTGCTTATGTGCAAATGTTGCTGTTATGCCTGGTAAACTCAGTTCTTCCCTTTTGGCTACAGGTAACAAATCAGCTGGGAACTCGACTCTAGAATCTCCTCTGAAAAAGCAAGATTCATTGAGATGTCAGCCATCTCACTCAATGCTGGAGATGCGAGTTAAGGCAAGACGATTGCATTCAGTTTTATCATATGCTTAGGGGGAAATATATTCCTTTCCGAGAAACTCCTTGAATACTGTAGTTACAAATATACCTTAATCCATTGCTTCACCTGGGCAGTTTTGAAAGGCCTTCACAGGTATTAAATAAGTAGCTATTAGGGGATTTCTGAGTCAATTGGTTAGGCATACACACGCGTGCGAACACATACACTTTAGTGTGTTTCAATTTTCCTATCATTTTCTAGCAGGTATACAGGATTAAGCAACTAATTTAATTTCCCGGTGGCATCAGTCAAGGCAAGCTGGTCATGCCACTTTGCTAAGCATGAAGGGACTCCTGGGGATACTGACATGTCTGCATCCGGTTGGCACCTCAGCCCGGCTGACGCATGGACTCTAGAGGTGTGACTCAGCCATGACTCTTCCCAGCTGCTTGCAGTGGGCAGCTAACATGTAGGACTAGACCCACTAGACCTTGTGGTTAAGGTCCTCCTGGTTAGTACATCACAGAGTAATGATGGCTTCATTCAGTGGGTAGATATGGAAAGACTAGCAGCAGCTTTGTCGGTGGGAGGAGGATCTGCAGGAGGGAGAGCAGAGTGGTAGCAGTATGGGAAGCCAGGCGTGCTTGCTGAGCACAGACTTAGCAAACTCAGCTGTTAGTTTCTGTAGTTTTAGATTGAGTAATTTTAAAGCTTTAATTAAAAAAGAAATGCACCTTGCAAATACCCAATAACATAACTAAGTCTAGAAAAAAAATCATGATACCGAGTGGAAGAAGCCACATGGCAAAGACAAACACTGTGAGGTTCCTTTCAAGTAGAAGACACACTTCCATGTAATGGCAACAAGACTGTCCGTAGTCCATCCTGGTGTGCTGGGTGTTTGTCCTAGTGGTTAGGATGCTGCTCGGAATGTTGCCGCCCCCATCAGAGTGCCTGGGTGCATGGCTCAGTCCTGCTCCTCGCTCCAACTCCCTGCTAAAGCTCATCTTGCGAAGCGAAAGCAGCTGAAGTCATTGGGTCCTGCTACCTATCTGGGAAACCTAGACTGAGCTCCGGGCTGGCCCGTCCCCAGACACTGGGGGTATCTGAGGACTGAACTAGCGGATGGGAGCTCGGTATCTTGTCTGTCTCTCTAAATAAATAAACAAATCAGAGTTATGGAAATGTTCTGCATCTTGACTGTGCTGGTGGATTCAACGGTCGAAACTCATACAATCGTACACTTTTAGCGGTTGTCATTTATTATATGTCAGCTAGTCTTTAATAAAATTGATGAGGGAAAAAACAGACTCATGGAACACCAGTGAGGAAAAAGCAGTTTCTAAATTTTATGTTCTTTATCGGTCAGAATTTCTGGAAGAATATTAGCAGAGTAAAGAGGTAAGCAAGATGGAAGCCAGTTTTTGGAGTGACCTCGGCTTCCGAGCTGATGGGATCACTGGCAGGGAACGACAGGGTCTATATTTCCATCTTTCAGGGGGCAGTTGGACAGCAAACTGGATCCCGCTCTGCCAGCCCCACAGTACTGGTGTGCTTACCATGTATTTCTTGCTGCAGTTTTCACTCTGGCAACACTTACAGCTGTTTTTGTTCTCCAACACAAGAAGAATCACTGCCACTACGAGCATCTGTAAGGAGGCGGAGATGAGAGGTCAGCCACAGAGCGCTGGTTTACACGCATGCCCATAACCGGAGGACAGTGAGCCCAAGTGGTCACGCCCACTGGGGTCAGGCCTGGCTCTGCACCGGCTACCTGTGTGAACTAGACAGTCCTTCCCCATAAAACAGCTTGAGAACTCAATTCGCTGGGTTGCTAGGCTCCAATATGTACCATTTTGATAATGTTGCTTGATACAGAGTGATTGGTCCCTGTAAGCTACATTGACTGTGATTGGTGATCGCCAGCAGCCAATCAAAGAGGAGCAAAGGGTGTAGACACATTACGCCACCCTGGGCAGCAAAACCTGCATTTCCCACTGGCTTCCTTGCGAAGACCAAAGCAAAACTGCTCGGTAGAGTTAGTGGTTTGCCAGTCGCTCCATTCACTGTCCTCTGGGAATGAGAGGCTTTTCTGAAAATACATCTTTTTCTTAAAAAAAAAAAAGTTGCCTATTTTTGTTTAAAAGGCACAGTTGCAGTGATTGAGAGAGAAGGAGTGAGAGAGAATTGTCCATCTACTGGTTCTCTCTACAATGGCCTCGAAGCCAGGAACCAGGAACTCTCTTTGGTGCTGGGGCTCCGGCACTTGGCCCATCATCCTTTGCTGCTTTCCTAGCCACACTCGAAGGGAGCAGAACTGAAAGTGGAGCAACCGGGACTCAAACTTTGGCCCATATGAGATGCATCTCAGGCAGAGGCTTAGTCTGTTATGCCGCGGCACCTGTCCGATGCTACATGTCTTTAAAGTGAGTTCAACTTCTTCATGCATTCATGCTGTCTCGGGCTAAAATTTTGCAACATTTTGTCTGTATCAAGCCAACAAAGTGAGAAAAATCACACTCTATTTCTCTTTGTTGGTGTCTTAGGCAAAGGGCAAAAGCTCTGGAAACAATATGGATTTCTTGACAGTCACGATTTACGGCTAGAGCAGATATGGACCATAAAATATTGATGGGGAAATTTCCCACTTGCCCCTCCCTACACCAAAAAGTTTGTACTATAAATACTGCAGACACCTGTGCCTGCAGCTATGTTCTGGATTTTTCCCTAGGACGTGCGAGGAGAGTTAAGGACACAGTCGAGAAGCCTAAGGCTCTTCATGGAGCTTGCTACGTTAGCCCAAACCCTTCTCCAAAAGCTTCGTCTTTATCTGTAATGCCTCCTACAATGCAGGAAACTTCCACAGCATGGCTACCAATATGTTCAAATTTACTCATTTATTCTACCGGAACAGCTAAATGCAAACTGATTTCCAACATAGCTATGCAATTAGTATAATAGATATCCAAAGAGACTGGCAAGCCACAAACTCCACACACCCATTGCTATGGATTTCCTTGTATAGTCCTGGTTGTCTAGGAAGGGCACCATGCACAATACATTGTTTTTAGAAATGATGCAATCAGGAGAAATATCTTTTCCTCTGAGATGCCATCCTGATTTACTATCATTTTGTGTATTTTTAGCAAACACACCGCAGGAAAACATTCATGGGTAATCACCACTAATAATTGTCCAGAGAGTCCTCCGTTGTTAGAGGTTTAATGGAATAATATTTAATGATCATATAGCAAATCCTGGTAACAGATATTTGTAATTTCAGTAGTCACTACTAGCTTTGTGTCTCTCACTGTCCTGGTGCTCTATAGACGTGACAGTATTTAATTCTCATTTACCAGGAAGGCAAATGTCATGAATCATCTTTGTCAAATGAGGACGCTGAAGCTCAAAGAGATCCAGCAGCATCCCGAAGCTCTCCGGACCCAGGAACTTAGAGCGGGAAGCAACTTTGTCTAACTTTCCAAGTTTCTGCTTTTCCACAAGGTCCTAACGCCCCTCCAAGCTAGAGAAATCACGAGACCAAACAGCGCGGACTGACACACGGCGTTCATGAGGCTGTGGTGTTTTTACAGATCAATGTCCACAAAGTTTCATTAGGTTGAATCTCCTCTACTGCTAAGCAGTTCATCAGAAACGTAGCTGCTGACCTCACCCTCAAGGGTTTCCTGCCTCTTGCCCCATAAATCTTCCAAATGCCATCCCCAAGATGACTAGAGCTTTCTTTCCATTACTGTGATTTTTACTAGATACATGGCAATTCTCAATAACAACTCCACCTTTTACAACCCGGAGTTTTCCCAGTCACACTTACCATGACACCTGAGAAACAGATGCCTTCAAAATACCACACGTAGCTGGCGAGCTTATTGCTGGACGCATAGGAAGTTTGTCCATTTGGGAAATACAATAAAACATTCACAATTATACTCCAGAGTGCGAGTGGAATCAGCAGGCAACTCAGGCAGCTTCCACACTGCCGGGAGCCCATGCTGCCTCGGGGAGAACCTGCAGAAACTCCGAGTAAGAATCAACACAAAGATGGCTTATTCCTTCTACCTGCTGTCCCCGCGCCTCACTCCCTGCTTTCAAATTACCTGCCACTTTCTGGGTCAGAGCGCTTCACTTCATATTCATGAGCAGCCGGGCTTGGCACTAACGGCAGCCTTGACAGTCTCGGTGGGAAGTAGTGGTCTAGTGTTGGGAGAACAATAGACAATGAGCCAGGGCTGAAGAGCTGAGCTGATCTTCATCCTGTGCCAAAGGAATGCGGTGTTTTTACTGTTTTTTAAAATAAGTCATTTTCCTCTGGATGAACACACCACCAACCAAGCCCAAAGCATGTTTTGAGAAGGAAGTTGGGGTGGGAGCCGGACCGGAGTGCGCCAAATTTCATCCCCACGGTGGAGAGAGGATTAAAGGCAAAACCTCCAGCAGGCTTATCCTGGAGCGTGGGATCTTTGCTCAAATATTCTGCATTTTTAAACTTTTTACACACCTGGCTTTCACCCAGTGTTCTTGATTGTACTCATGATTTACCAAGCACAGAGAGAGCAAAAAGTGCTTAGGTAGGACTGGCAGGTGCGGAAGACCAGACAAGGCCATCCATGAACTCACGGACAACAAACAGCAACACAGCCGACCCCGCTCAGGTTCCCATCCACCATGCGCTCCGTGAATATACACTAGGCAGCCGTGCAAGCTTCCTCACTGGTAGGGAAAGGGCAAACAAGAAAAAGTGCTGGTGATTTGGTAAAGACTTAACAATGAGTTTGTATTAAGAACTAGGATCTTTCCCATCTGAATTGTTGGTTTAGAGTCAGAGATGTCCAGTGCTTAGGGCTTCAGCAGTGCGTCCTAGAGGGGAGCCACACTCTGCACATTGAAGAGGATGGAGGCAGTCGTGGGAGAGAGTTTAAAGATCGCTTGGCCTTGTTTTTATCCCTTTCCTGGTATCCCTGGGAACTTGCTTTATATTATTTTGTTGAGTCTCAGTTTATTCAGCTGTGAAATGGGAATGAACAACAGTGTCTCCCCGCCCCCCCGCCCAATAATGTGAGCATTCGGCAAGGTTACGTGTTCAGCGCAGTGTCAACTGCAAGCAGACAGGTGGCAACAGATGGGAGCCATCATCTATCTCCAAGTAGCACAGAGATCGGCAGGAAAGTCACGTGCTTACTTTTCTCTGTATTATAAAATCGTAAGATGTTGATCCAAAAGGTGACATTAGATGTTATTGTCCTTTTGGAACCGTTGATGCCGGGTGCTATGACACAGTGGGTTAAACTTGCCTGGGATGCCTGCTTCTCATGTGGGAGTGCTAGTGGATCCCTGCTGCTCTGACTCCAATCCGATTCCTGCTGGTACGCCTCGGGGGCCGCAGATGACGAATCGAGTGTTTGGATGCCACAATCCACTCGAGAGACCTGATGGAGTGCTTACCCCACCTGGGCTTTGTGGCCAATTGGGGAGTAAAAAGTGGATGGAAAACCTTCTCTCTCTCTCCCTCTCTTCCTCTGTCTTTCTCCATCCATTCTGGCTCTGCATTTCGGGTAAATTCGAATGAGTAAATATTTAAAAATATTGTTGAACTAAGTGCATTTAAGTTAGGCAACTTACAGTATATTCATCAGAAATGTTGACTAGGTATTTAAAGTGTTGCTTTAAAAATATATTTATTCATTTTTATTGGAAAGTCAGATATATAGAAAGGAGGAGACACAGAGAGGAAGATTCTCTGTCTGATGATTCACTCCCCATGTGGCCGCAATGGCAGGGCTGAAGTCAGGAGCCTGGAGCTTTTTCTGGGTCTCTCACACAGGTATGTGCAGGGTCCCAAGGCTTTGGGCGGTCCTTGACTGCTTTCCCAGGCCACAAGCAGGAGGCATTTGGGTCACTTTTTGATTTAAACCAAACCAATCTAGAAACTACTGTGATGGGTGCCAAAGGCATGTCTGGTGCCCCCTAGTGGATGTGCATCTTTATGCCGGTGCCATTGACACCGTCTGGGTGTTAGTATCTTTTCCAATGACATGAATGTGTCTTTTCAGAAGCACAATTTGAGGTTGAGTATTTTTGGAGTACTGTTCGTGTGCCAGACACTATTCTCAGAGCACCAAAGGGATTAGTGAACCAAACAGTCCCCACCCTCGTGAAGCTGGCACTCTGCAACAGAGGAGTATAACAACAATTTTTGCACTGATTGCTACACATTTGTATATAACATCAGGTGGAGGAAATGTGGTTAAACAAATCAGGAAAAGATGTCTGCCTTTAAGCCTCCCTCCCCCAAAACCCAATTGGGAGATTCAATTGGAGTCTGTGGATTCTATCCCTTAGTAAATGTATTATATACGAGAAAGAGTGGTCATGATGAGGGCATGTGGAATCGAGTTCACTAAGAGGGATGCAAAAACGCGAGGGTGGGCCCAGCGTGATGGCTCAGCAGCTAAATCCTCACCTTGTGTAACAGGATCCCATATGGGTGCTGGTTCATACCCCAGCTGCCCCACTTCCCATGCAGCTCCCTGCTTGTGACCTGGGAAAGCAGTCAAGGACGGCCCAAAGCCTTGGGACCCTGCACCTGTGTAGGAGACCCGGAAGAAGCTCCTGATTCCTGGTTTTGAATTGGCTCGGCTCCGGCTGTCGTGGCCACTTGAGGAGTGAAGCAGTGAATGGAGATCTTTCTGTCTCTCCTTCTCTCTGTAAATCTGCTTTTGCAATAAAAATAAGTAAATCTTAAAAAAAAAAAAAAGATGTGAAGGAGTGTGATGACAGTGGAAAAGGGGGGAGCTGGTTTGCGGAGTGTGTAGATTTTGAGTCCATGCTGGTAGTGGCCGACAATGCTCCTTTCAGTGCTCACAGGTTTTAGTGGAAGGGACAGGCGGGCCACGTAGATGGGTGCCACGTGCTGAGGAACAGGGTCGTGGAGCGACAACGGGCATGGCTAGTATTCTTTCTTGCTGAAGCCCTCAACCTGGTTGCTGATGATGGTGCCATGTCGCAGGCAGTCGTGGGGACTCAGCAGGAGGAGCAGAGCCAACTGTCCTTTGGAAAACTGTTCAGACAGACAGACCGTAGTGAATGCAGTAGATATGACTGGCAAACTTTGATACATTTATCAAAAGGGGAGTTGAGCTATTTCCTTGTCTGGTTATCTCATTAGTGGAAATATCTAATGAAATCTCCCCCAGATAACTTTTAAAAATGAATCAATTTCATGCCTAAGAAAGTTTTTTTTTTAACTTGTCTCTGAAAAAAAAATATGTGCTTATAATGTTATTTATAAATAACATTCCTGAAGTTACTTGCCTCCAGTAAATTCCTAATTTTCTTGCCAAGGAATTCTTACTAAGTCAGGATCTTCCTAGTGCCCCCGCCGCAGCTGGGCCGAGTTCCTGGGCTGCTGTGGCGGCCCACCGGCTGCTTCTGACCTTGGTTTCCTGTGCTTTGGCAGCAGGGCGGAGGAAATCCGCAGGATGCAGGCTCCAGGGGCCTGGTGACTCGGGAGGAAGCACCCCACCTCACCCCAGGCCTGGGCTCCAGGCTCCGAGTCAGCCTGAGTCAGAATCCACGTGGGAGCTGGCCGCCTCGCAGGGGATGGGGACCAGGGAAGAAGGCAGCATATTTGCAGAGCTAAGGCCAGGAAAGCTGAGCAGCACAAAAGGCTGACATTTCAAGAGAGTTTTGTTCTCTGAGTTATAAGAAGATGGGTGATTTCCCTCTATGATCATCGGCAAATAGGCCCGGTTTGGGTTCATTGTAGGAGGTCCACAGGGAGTGGATATTTCCTTAAAAACAAATTTGAGAAGCAGCAGCAGGACAGCTGTGTAAACACAAACGGATTCTTTAGGTCCAGTCTTCCCGGGGCGTCGTGTGTTTACAGCCCTTTCTCTGGAACTATCGGGCTCAAAGTGCGATGGACTCCGGTTTTATGGACTCTCGGTAAACAGCTAGCCTTTCGCGTACAGAGAAGGCAAGAGGAGGCTGCAGCTTTGGTTTCCCAGCAGGTAGCTGCGCTGGCAATTCCTGCTCAGGCCACTGTCTGCTCCCTGCCTCCTGGCTCCTGCCGTTATACTGTGAGCGAATGAGGAGCTGTATCCAGTTCTTAAATCTTGAAATGGACACTCATCATTTGTCCTCAAGATACTCAAAACTGAATAAAAATGTTGAGGTCAGAGAAGCAGGGCAGGCACGCAGTGCAGCACTGAGAAGGCTAGCTGGCAGGACTGCACCTTACGTAAGGGTGACTTGGTCCACGGGCTGCTGCTTCTCCAGCGTCAGGTGCGCCCGGGCAGGATGGCTGGATCAAAGCTGTGTTCAGAGGCAGCAGGCGGGGACTCCAGTCCTTGGGGTCCTTATGGTCCGAGAGACCCTGGCACCGGAGCGAAGGATGCGGGCAGCCCGAGTGGTCTAATGCTGCGGCAGGTGCCTGGCTGAGCCCTAAACGTAACGTAGCATATACGTTTACTGCCACAAGAAGTGTGATTCTGATTACACTGCAAAAGATGTGCTTTCAAAAATTGCAAACTGGATTGCCTTATTCTGAAAATTGTGAAAGATTTTTGACCTTAGAAAAGTTGAAAGGGTTATAATGATTACTGCTTATCTCTCAGCTGCACCTGTTCGTATTTCGCCTCTTTGCTTTGTTTCTCTCATAGTTTTTTTTTTTTCTTCTGATCATTTGAAAGAAAATTTTAGACATCCTGAAGTTTCCATGGGCATCTTCTAAGACCCACAGCCCTTCTCGATGTTTTCCCAAGCTACAAGCAGTGAGCTGGATGGGAAGTGGGGCTGTCAGGGTTAGAACCAGTGCCCATGTGGGGGCCAGGGTGTTGAAGATGAGGACTTAGCTGCTAGGCCACTGCGCCAGCTTCCCTGCAGGTTCATTTGCAAAGAAATCTTAACAGCAGTTTGACAGAGGCTTCTTTCCTTCGCATTCCACTTCCGGGCTTTGCCTTTGTCTTCTCATGACATTATCCTGGTGAGTCAG